CTTCTTCCCACCTGCTATTTGCCTCTTCAAAAAGACCACCTCAGTAGCAAGGCTCTTAGCCTGCGCTGCATCATGCCGTAGTCTGTCACATTCAGCTTCAAGAGCCTCGAGCTGAATCTTCATCACCCCTCCAGTTCTAGCCTCCCTCTGCGGTTCCTGAAGAATCGAGTATATTAGCCCAGCACAGGATGAGTACTCCACCTTTTGTGTATTTGTTGCATTGTTAGACTGCTGCATCAAAGCCGTGACCATTCCCATCATTGCCTCCATCCCACCACCACCACCTCCTCCAATCGTTGTAACAGCAGAGGCAGCCTTGGCAGAATGGAGGGCCTAGTTGGGGGGCACCACATCACGAGTAGTAGCTTCCTCCTCCAAGCCCTACCGCCCTGGTTTCCTCGAGATCCTTCTTCACAGCAGCTAGTTCGGAAGCCGGTACCATAGGTTCATCACTCCCTGTCTTCATCGCCGCATCTGGAGGCAAGCCAGGTTCCACATACAAGGTAAATGATTTCGCACCAACAGCAAAACCGTCCGCACCGTCGTCCTCAGGTGCGGGAACCTTAGAGGTCGCACTAGCTGTAAGAGCCTCTATCTCTTTCTGCTTCTCGTCGATCAAACTCTGTGCCAACTTCACCTACCACGAACGTTCATCCACTAGGGATTCCGGGAATACTACTGCTGTAGTATTATCCTTGCAGACCTTCTCTAGGGCTCCAACGGTCTTAATGACAACTTCAACCTCCTTGATGATAGAATCTACTTCTCCTACGAAGAGTGATTCATCCACACTTAAGACACGTACATGTTGCTGACTACCTGATGACACATCCAGGACGCCACCGTCGCTACCCGCTGGTGTGTTAGTCGATCCATCTAGCAGCTTCGAGAACTCGGCCTCTAACCCCTCGAGCATGCCCTTGAGGGTATTACGATCACCTGGAGTGAGAATGAGATGGATGCCTACATGCCGGGAAGCATGCCCCAAGCTACCCTCCGACAAGTTGAGCACGTCTGGTCCCTTCATATTATCGCTGTTCGAAGCTACCTGCGTCGTGTGGGGTTCTGCCACACACTTAGCAAGAGAGCCGTCATCGTCGCGTCCATCTTCTGAATACCAATCATCCCTATAGAGAGCCTCGGAAACGCAGGTTCTAGCCTACCGGACATCATTTTTCTCAGTTGTGCTTCCAAGTCCTTCACTCTACTCTGTAACCCTCACCTGAAGAGCGATTATATAAAGCCTTCACCGAGAATCCACTATCTAC